TAGGACCTGTAGTAGTGTTGAAAAGAACTGATAATGAATATCCTTGTCTTAGCCCCAGTGTAAAGGGGATAATGCTTTCAACATTTCAGCTGAGCACTTTTTTTTTTTCTCCATAAATGGCCTTTATCAGGTTAGGGAGATTCTCTTCTATTTCTAGTTTGCTAATAGTTTTATTATGAATGAATATTGAATTTCATTGCTTTTTCTCATCTATTTAAGTGGTAGAATTGTTTTATCTTTTAATGTTAATGTATTAAATTATGGTGGTTGACTTTTTAATATTGAACTAACCTTCTAGGATAACCCAACTTGGTCATGGGGTGTGTGTGTACATTGCTGGACTTAATATGCCAATATTTTATTGAGGATTTTTGCTATGTTCATGAGTGAAATCAGCCTGTAATACTCTTGCATGTCCTGTCATTGTCTGGTTGTGGTATCAAGGTTATACTAGCCTCGTGAAATGAGTTTTTCATTTGTCTCGAAGAATTTAAATTTGGACCTTGTCTTTAAAGCCATTTGGTCATTAGGAGAAGAATTTCAACTATTGATTCCATTGAAGGGTTATAGGATCATTAGGATTTTATATTATTCTTGTCAGCTTTGATTAAATTTTTAGGGACTTCTCCATTTCATCTTAATTTTTTTTTATATGAAGTTGTTCATATTATTTTTTTAGTTTCCACAGCATCTGTAGTTCTGACCCTTTTTTATTCCTATTAGTTTGTGTCTTTTTTTCTTAATTCTTCCAGAGATTTGAATATTTAACCATTGGTTATTTTATTTCCAAATGCCAGGGGTATTATAGTTGTCTTAATCTTTATTATCATTTTGCCAGAGAATATAGGCTACTAAAGTTTTCTGAAATTCGATGATATGTGATCAGTTCTCATACATGTTCCACGTATTCTTGAAGAGTGTGTATTCCCCAATTGTGGAGCTGTGTCCATTAGATCAAATTTGTTAGTTGTGCTGTGCAGATATCTTTACTGACTTACCTTATACTTGATTTATTTCCTGAAGAGTCTCAAGATCTCATTATGATAGATTTCTCAATTTCCCTTAAAGTCATCAGTATTTGCCCTTTGGGGGGGGGTGATTTTATTATTAGTAGATGCATTTTAATTTAGAATTTTTCTATCGTCCTTGGTGAATTGAACCTTTTATAATTATGTAGTGACTCTGAATCTCTATGAATGCTGTTGCCTTTGATTTGTTATTACTTACCATGGCAATAGTTTGGTTAGTCTTTATCTGAAAATCTTAGATCTTTCTTTGGCTTTGTATTTTGAGTTGTAGGAGACACACTTAAAAGATGAGGTCAGAGAAAATATCTTTTTAACTGAATAGTTTAGTACATTTCTATTTGTGATTACAAATATAAATTGGATTTGTTTCTAGGCATCATAAATTGTCGTTTTCTTGTCCATTCCTCCCTTCTTGCCTTGTCTTTCACATTGCATTTTCTTTTTTTTCCCCTCCTCTATTTGTTCAGTTTTTATTTTCAATTATACTTTTTTCTTAAACGTTCTATTTGATTAAAAAATCCGTTTGTTCTGTATCATCTTTTGCTCATTACTCATATTTTCCATGCTTCTATTCCTTTACATATCATTAATTTTTCCTATGTTGATACCAATAAAAAGTCTTTGTGGGTGATTCCACTGTTGTATAAACTGTTGTTTTTTCTTGAGTTTCGGAATATTTTAAAGTTACTTTCCTTGGAAAATAGGAATCCAGTATGGATGAAATCGAGATCCTTGAGAGAATCTGCTCTGCCAGACACTGAGGGGCTACAAATCTGAAACCCTTTTAAATGATCAGCTTGAGGGTTCCCTTTAAATGATATGAATCGGGGTGCTGGCGATTTATGTCCCCCCACCTAACACCCACGTTGAGAGAGGCCATGTTCCTTGCTGCCCAGTTAGCTGTGGTGGCTCTTCTAGACTCCAGTGAGTCTCAGGCATGGTATCAGAGTTCAGCTGACTCTCAGGGCAAAAGCAGGCTTTGGTGCGGGCTTACCCAACCTCAGGTTCCCTATTTTCACTTATTTTTGGAGTTTTGCAGATAACTTATTTTCATGTCAACTCAGTGACACATTTAAAAAGATAATTTTATATTATTTAATGTTATATTATTGCTTATATTTTATTCCACATTTGGTTTTGTAAACTGGAAGTTACTGAGGGAATCTAGACGGCTTTACTCTTGGAAATGAAGTGTAAATTAAAATTTGCTTTACTTTGCTTTGCCCTTGATGTAAGTAGGAAACATGGTTGTTTATAGTCTACAGAATTATAGGATGCTTATTTCTGTCCTTTGCACTGTCCTGCAAAATAGCAGTTTATGGGACTGCTACTTTCAAGGTTAGAAATGTACAGAAATTATTCTTTAAAAGTTGTACTCTTTCTCCAAAGGAGTGCCTCTGCCATCTCCTTAAATAGCTGTTAGCCCTAATATTACTCCTTTGCGTTGACTCATGATTGCGTTGGATTTGGTTTCCTGTAAACCTAGCCCTGGGGGTTATAGAGGCATGGATAAGCCTTCTGAAATACCTGTCCTGGCTGAAAGGCCTTGTTTTGTTATGACTTTGCCCAGCAACTTGTTTTCAACAAACTACCCAGTGTTTAAGGGACTCTAATGGTTTTAAAATCTTTAAATCAGGTATAAGGTGAAGCATAGTTTTGAAAGAAATATCTAAGGGGCTGTAGCATATAGGCTTTTATAACCCTTAGTGTTGGGTGCTACTATTTTTTGTATCTGGTGATTGGTATAAAGTTTTTACAGAAGTTATAAAGGCTTTCCTGAAATTTAAGCTGAGATCTGACTTAGCCAGGCAGAGGAAAAGAATGTTCTAGACAAAGGGAAGTATATGTGTTTAAGGACATAGCAAGGGGGTGGAAGAAGGCAAAGAACTTGGCACAAGGAGTCAAGAGATCAGGGTGGTTGGAGCACAATGAGCAAGAAAAAGCTAAATTTGGTCAAGTAAGCAAAGTAACATTTCCAGTTCTAAAAGACACCAGAAATCAAAACTGAGTTCTTTTTCAGACAGTATAGTATAGCTCCTTGAAAAAGTTTTTTTACTCATGAGCACACTATATATGACTTAATCTGAGTTTAAGGTTAATATATATAAAGTATTCCATAAATATATAGATTATCTAATTTAGGGAGACCAAAAAATATACATTTAAAATAGCCTAACTTTTGGTTCACATCATACCCTGTATCACTTGAGTGACTCAAATGTATATTTTATCACATAATGCAACAAATATTGTCTTATTTTGGGCCATTGATAACTGAAAAGGAAAAATTTTTTTTTAATTTGCACTGCAAGATTTTATTCTTGGCAAATGGTAGAAACTTTGTTTTCTATTTTCATGCAAAATTGCTACTGCTGTAGAAATCCTTCTAGTTAGACCCTTGGAACTGTGTTCAATTAGCAGTATTAAAGATAACTGGTATTCTTTTAACCCACTAAGGCAATCCAGGAAACAGGCAATGTTTTTAAGGAAAGAATACTGAATAGATATTACACTGTAGGAGGAAAAGAAGTACAAAAAGATTAAAACATCATCATATCCGAGTATATGACATTAGGAAGGTAGCATCAAAAAATTTTTTGTCTGGAGTAAAGCATCATGAGGTAGTGAGGAGACAGAAGCTACTGAAGTCCCTTCTTCTATGATTTAGTCACTGAAGCCCATTTCTCCTCTTACTCATAAAGACAGTATGTACAAAGTTATAAAAAAAAAGTAATCACTTTTATATAGTTCCTTACTAATGTAGGAACTTATATACTTAAGAAGTTCCAGAGGGGAAGAAAACATGACGTTTTCAATTCAAGGCATCATAAGCCAAGTTAAGAAGCCAACACTACCTCTTATGTGCATAAAAGATTATGTACCTGACACATGAAGAATGCTAATATTCTTTCAGAGTATGAAGGCCATATAAGCCAAAGCTGATCTGATTTTACCTACTTTAAAGCTTTAGTCAATACTACCAGCAAATAATTAAACTTAGAAATTTGTTTTGGCATATATTGACATGAATTTTAAAGTCATTTCTTTTTTATCTTGATTCTTAAACATAACCCCATCTTTAATTTTAGAGAAAGAATCTGATAACCAAAGACCAAGTGCTTTTTATCAGTTATATAGTGACACACTGCCTGGATCAAATGAAAGATATTTCAAAGATACACTTATATGTAAGTATCAAACACCTTAAAATTTTGTGTATCTGTTAACCCAGCAATTCTACTCCTAAGAAATTATCTTAAGAAACAGCCATACATGTACATAAGATTCAGTGAAATGTTGTTTATAACTGTAAAAGGATGTATATAAGCAAAATGTCCTACAGAGTATTAAATAAATTATGGTTCAGCCGTACAACAGAGTAATAGAGGAATAAAAAAGGAAGACTATGTAATGACCTGGGAACGATGTTCACAATATATTAAGTGAAAAAAGCAGGTTACAAAACCGTATGCAAATGCAAGTATGAGCCTATTTTTATAAAAATATACATATTTAGCCAAGTAAAAGGACAAATGATATTTACCAAAATATTAACATTGGTCTTTTCAACATAGTAGGATGATGGTTGATTTTGCTTAAACACCCTCCCCACTTTTGTTTGCCTATTTGAAGTCTCTGTAATTAAGATTATTTTTTAAATGGGAGGGGTAGTAAAGGAGTTATTAACCTCAGATTAGCCCAAATATGCCCCCAAAGGCTCCTTCTGGCAAAATAGATGTTTCTGTTCAGCCTACATCTGGGAAATTGCTTCTACCTTATAAATATGAGTGTCCTTCCAAGATGACCTTTGCTCAAACTCCCTCCCTTTGAAGCAAACTATACAATAGCAATTACCGATGTTAAAAAAAAAAAACCTCAGGTCAATTATCACCTTAAAGAATGGATGAAAAAATATAAATCCTCGCTTTACAAAAGGAACAACCCAAGTACATACTACTAAATTGTACAAAGTTACATTATCTAAGTTTAGTTTATTGCAAAGATCGAGACAGCACACTAGAAGTTGGCGGCTTCTGTTTCACACCGTTCACAGCACTCATTCTATTCTTCACTGCATCCACTCGCCCATGCAGGAACAGGTCAGTATACACACAATGATGTCTGACGTTTGTTGGTTCCCATAGTATAATAGGAAACTTGACATTTCAATTAAAAAGGTAAAATGACATTTACCATCAGACTATAAAATTCCTCTTCTGGAAGAGGATACTATAGTATTTGAAGATAGGCTTTGGAAAAAATCATATACAAAATGAAAGGGGCACCATTTCATGAGCACTGGGACTATATTAAACCTAAATGAATTCCAACACTCATAATAAACAAATCTGCTCTTAACAAAAGCTCCAATAAACTAAAACTATCTTGACAGGCACAAAGAACAGTGTAAACACTGTTAACGGGCACCGAGTTTGAGGGCAGACAATATTTGCTTCTGCATTCACACTTAATTTTTCAATTACATTTTTTAAAAAATGGTGCTGCTTAAGCTATGAATGTTTTACAAAAAAATTAATTTTAATAAATATGGCAAATACTAAAAACCTAGCTAGGTTATCATGCAAGATATATAACCAAGACAAACTCAAATTTATAATAAAGGCAACTTGCATTCAAAATGAACTCTACCCTTATATTTTATTAAAAGGGCAACATCATGAATTAACCCAGCTGCTTACTTGAATTACAAAAGTAACATGATTCAATATGAAAATAAGAAACTGTCTACAAATCTCTGACAGTAATAAATTGCAATATACAATGCATACAGGAGTCATACAGAGCAACAAACTCTTGTACAAAACAAAAATATTTTAATACCTTTAAAATCCAAATTTTTTCTTTAAAATCATTCATGAAAAAGATTCTCAAGTCAGAATTAACACCTCAATTAGTCAAGCATCAGGAAGCTACATTACAGCGATTTAATATACAAAGACACATCCTTTCACCACTCATTTCCTTCTAATGTCTCTGCTTCGGAATCATACAGACGCTCTTGCTTCTCTATATTCCCCATTCCATCATTTCTTCAGATCATGAAAACTGAATTTGCTGAACGCCAGAAATCTGATTAGAAAATTCAAATTGACAAGAATTAAAGAAAAATTAGTTTAAAAAGAACTTATGCGTATTATAAACATTCAAAGAATAAAAACAATAGACAATGAAAAATAAGTCTACTTGCCGCCCTGGACTTCCACTCCCTACCCAAGGAGGCTACTTTATTAATTTCTTGTATATCTTTCTAGAAATCTATGCAAATATGAATGTGTGTATATATTTTAATAATAATGTGTTGAATGAACTACCTGTGATAAAATTAGCAATGAATATAATCAATTTTTAAAATAATTTAAAATACAAAGAAGATACTCTACCTGTTGATATGATGTTGTGTAAACCATAACATTTTGTTGCTGACCATCTGCAGTTATCAAGCCGGCCGGTAACTGGTTGGCTAAACGGCAGGAAAAAGTTAAAGTGAGAAAAGAATTGCATTTACTTTCTTGGCCTGAACCTTAAAGTTGTGCCATTAATGTCTCATTACAATTCTGCTGCTTATCAACGTAATCGTGGGCAAAATCATGAACCTCCCAAATTTTCCATTTAAAAAATTTCCTAAAAAGCACATTTCTTCTATAGCATGTTCGATTTTCTGAATCTTAATTGCCCATGTGTACAAATCTGCAGAAAGACTGGAGAGAAATTCCGATTCATGGAGAGACCTACACTAGGAAAAGACTTACATAACTAAGCAGCATATACTTTTCATGTGAGAAATATAAAATACCCCATATAAATTTTATATGAGAACTATAACCACCATAGACCTTTTATTTCACCAATATAACGACATAGCACTCAATTTTTAAAAAAGAAACCAGTTCGAATTTATTTAAATCACAAGATTTTATACTGCAAACTACAATTTTCAACCTTCCTATCATGTGAATCTTAAACCAAAAACTAGGAACTCTGGAAATCAGTTCAAACTATTGATGAAAGATTATGTCTGCAGAATTAAAATTTTACACTAATCCTTCGCTGCCTTCAAATATAAGAGCATGAAATAGTAAGAACTATTCAAGACAGTGTTATGTCAAAGTACTCAGTGCTGATATTCCTAAAGTACAACTACACAATATTAATATCTACTACTAAATCACTAACAATGTACATGACTCGTAAGAACAAATTTAGTTGCATAAATGTATCATAACGTTGCTTACTAAATGCCTCCTCTGTTAGCTCTTCGCTTAGTCCGTCTGTAGCTGTGACTGCTCCACCAATTCCTTTCTCTCCTTTCATCGCCTGGGGAAGGAAAACCAAGAAAGTAATCGCTGCTATTCAAAAGAAACTTTTCTAAAGTAGACAGTTTACTTACTTCCTAAAATTAAGAGCTTCTATTTTCACAAACATTACACAGAGTATTTATTAACACTTCTGGTTAATTACATATGAAGAAGCCTTTCAAAATGCTAACTTTTTTATATAAGTAGTAATCATCACAGGACACTGTTAATAATGACCTAGAAAAGCTAAAATATTCATGGTTAAAAATAAATAAATTATTCTAATTCTATACTAATCAAAAGGAAAATAAAACCCTACTTATAGATGAAATAGTCTGTAAAATATAAATACTCAGCTTATAAATCTACTAAAAATGATCCAAGTTATTATTTAATTACATATACAGCTCTTGGCCATCTGGGCAGTACTGTAACTCTAAGTATGGGGCCTAAATTTTCTAAATCAAAATTACATTTTGGACCAAAGACTTCTAAGTTTCCATCCACTCTAGGGTTCTATGATGCTGAAGATCTGGAGAAATACTGTGAAGAGTTTACATATTCTCTTCCTACTTTTAATTAATCATTCCATACAGATATCACTAATTTAATGGTATTATAACACTGAAGATACTAAGAAAATATTTCAAAAGCAATGTGAATCTGACATCCAAGGTGAAGCATGGAAATATGCTGATCAACTCATTTTCACAAAATGCATGAGCAAAGATAAACCAAAGGAAATGCAGAATTTAATCAATAATAAGAAAAGTTACAATGCCTTCTTTTTCTTATCTAAAAGGCCCCAAGTTCTGAGATGCTACCTCTTTAAAATGAATAACAACAGCCAACATTACTGAGCATTCATTATATGCCAAGCTAAGTGCACTAAATAGATTATTTTACTTAGTCCTCTCAATAATTCTGTGAGGTAGGTATTATTATCAGCCTGACTTTATAGAGCAGGAAACCAAGGCCTAACGTGCTTAAATAACCTGACGAGGGTCACAGAGTTCATGTGGTGAAGCTGGCATTCATTCTCCAGAGTCCACATTCTTAATCATTACATAACTACGCTATCATTAGCAATAAACAAAGGAAAAGAAAGGACTTACTATTTAAGTGCAGTAAGGTAAGCCATTATACACGTCTAAGAAATGTAATCGCCATAAAATTTTTAAACAATACATTTAAAAAGTTAGTGAATAGTGTATCTTATTTTCTTAAATGCATAATGGAAGACATTTTACATACCTCTCTGAATTTCTGAAGGTACAATTTTAGAGGTTCTACATAACTGTCAAAGCCTAATGTAGACATGGCAAAGAGAATATCTTCTCCATTGATTGTCTTCCGTTTCTCTTGATGGCATCTTTCACTTGCTTCAGATGTTATAAAGCTGATGAACTCACTTACACATTCTTGAACACATTCTTTGGCATCTTTTGCAATCTGAAAAGAAAAATCATAGGTAAGTCTGCAGGCAATATAACCATCACCTTCCTAACAACCTGCAAAAATAGAAGGCTATTCAGAGGAACGTAAACTTCAGTTTCTGAGTGTTAACCTTTAATCTTCGAAATATATGCTAATAACAACACAATTCCTACTATCAAAATGCCAACCCTCAGAGAGAAATAAAAACTCAAATGTAAGTGAAAGAAGCGTTGACAACTACTCATAGAAAACATAATTTAGGTATAAAAGCCACCATTGGATGTCCTTACCAGCCATAATGAAAACTCTTACACCAACTGCCCCAAGAAAATCAATACGGTCATTTATGTTGTATATTGTAGGCTACAAACTTAGGTACCACTTCTCTGCTCTAGCATTTCCATGAATAAGGACACCAGAATTTAAAAAAACAAAACAAGCAAACAAAAAAACCCACTGAATTCACATACAGCTTACAAGGGAGTGAAATAATGACAGCTGGTGACATATTTAATATTAAGGTACAAAGTGTCAGGTACAGGTTTTGAGTTTATTAAAAAGCCTACCGAAAGAAACACATCTGCCACCTTATAAAAACAATTCTTCTCTTAAGGGTATGGCTTTGAAAGTGAAACTCTAATGGATTAAATTATGCCATTCCAAAGCCACTTCTAACAGGAATGACCCTCAAAATCCTTGCTGAAACATACTGTCTTTTACCTCCATGCCTGTATTTATCCTGGAGAAAAGTAAACAAGAGCTGCATAAATGCAGTCAAGCAAGATAATATAATGTGCACTGTATGTATAACTTTAGATTTTCTAGTAGCCATGTTAAAACAAGAAAAAAAAAAACCAGTTAATTATGTATTTTATTTAACCCAATAAATCTAAAATATTATTTAAACACAGGATGGATTTAAAAACTGAGATGTTTTAATTCTTATTTTCATACTAAGTCTTTCAAATCTGGAATATTTTAGACTTACAAGCACATCTCAATTCACTAGCCACATCCCAGTGCTCAGTAACCACATGTGGCTGTTGGCTGTGGCATCGCACTGAGCAGGCCAAGCCTATTTAAGCTATGGCAAGCAGGTGTGCTCCCCCCCACCCCCCCGTAAAACATAAAGAGGACCTCTCAAATTGGAACTTCTAGGCTCAGTGATGTCTTTTAATAATATATTTATGAGCTTTATTCATTTCAGAAGTACTTTATAAGCTACAATAAAATGACAGAAGTTTATAATGTAATATGAAATAATATAGAGTGTGAATTTTAAGACCGGGTGATGAGCAGAGTGACAATGAGTTTTTAAATTCTAACAAGAGAAAACTACTTAAAAAATCATACCAGTTGAATTTAAATGTTAGTATTTATAATTATATAAAAATAGCTCTTTCTAAATATAAGGATTTTTTAAAAGCTTTACAACCCCCCAAATCAGTCCAATGTGACCTAATTTTGCTGCCAGTTACAAAATCGTAAGCCCAAATCTGATAGCTCTGATGATACACCTATTTTTAAAAATTCTTATTTCTATTTTATCTGCTTCCAATAGGTGGGGGAGAGGGGAACATTTGGGGACATGACAGAACTGAAAATGGAACACTGTTCAGTAACCAAGTATACAGAATTGAAAGAAATATTTGATTTGCTGAAAGGGTAAACGACTGAAATCAATAGCTAACTATATTCATGAAGTATGGATTCCCCCCTCCAAAAAAACCTAGTTAAACTTCTCCTCTGCATTACCTTTCCCGTTTGAGGTATGGCATTTTTCATTATCCTTGCAACATTTGCAATTGGAAGATATATATCTTGTTCTCTGAAACTTTCTTTCGAACCGTTTGTGTCTTCATGATCGTTCATGCTATCCTCAGTATCTAAAGAAATAAAAATACGTTTAAAGCCTCTCATAATTTTTACTTCAAGATAGACAAGACTATCTAAAATGGTCCAGAACGGTTTCCTAATTCTTTTCAAGGGTCAGGACAGCAGTTCTCACAGTTCTTTCAGGGCCAAAACTAAACCTACCCATTAATTTCAAACCCATTTTTGTCACTCAACTCTGCCTATTGAAGTCCTACCTACACATTCTCCAAAAGCTCAAAAACATCTCCATGGCACGTTCAGAAATCATCTCTCTTTTCACAGAATATCACAAGTGCCTGTCTGCATCGTTTCTTACATGTTTTATAATTCTTTTAATTTCTCATTCCCTCTCTTGGATTGTTGCTGCTTGAGGACAGGGATTGGCTTGGTGTCCTTCCTGGGACTTGTACGGCACTTTCCAGAGACGGTGCACATAAATATATGTTGCGTGACTCAACTATCACCCTTATAGACTTTGACCCGTGGCTCCCTGCACATTACTAGATTAAGAGGTTATATGTTTAACCAAAGCCAAGTTTATATAGAAAGGAAAAACTGTACTTGAATATTACTGACCCAAGTGGGTTATTACTAACATAGTAATAGTTTTTTGTTTGGTTTGGTTTTTTAATAATAGTTTTTGGACAAAGCTATAGTAGTGATACAACGTGCTTACACAAAATGAATTTTCAAATTACAGATTTATATATAACTGAAGCTTTCCCAGTATCAATACTATCCTTTTATCACTAAATGCATTATCTTGTAAGTAAAGTTTCTACTTTTATATATTAAATAAGAAAGGCATTTAAGCTGATTCAATGTACATTTTTATGGGTTTAAAATGATGTTATAAAAATTAACTTGTTTGAGTATGTTTTAGGATAAAATAACTAATTGCCCTCCTCCAATTAACTTCTACAAAAATATATCTTATATAAATCAGAATGCCACAAAAGTAAATCGTTTCTGATAAGCTAACCTAATACTGCTCTTCTAATATCTGACATAGTTCAAACTTAATACTGAATAAAAAACAAAAATAAATCTGTTCATAAGTGTTGGACATATAATAACTAGCAACTGTGTATTTTATCAACTGAATAAGAATTTTCCATATTTAATACTCGAACAGAAAATCAGTAACAAAATTTTAAAGAAACTACCAGTTTTTAAAAGGCATACTTTTCCACAATTCTTTTCTAGAACTCATCATTCTTTTGAAGGCTATTTCTGATTAAAATGGCATTGTCCGACTTTTAGAGACACTTCAGTGAGGACACTGAACTGTGATGCAAAATTGATAATTTTCCTGTAAAGACAAAAGTAACCTAGAACATCATAGTAATAAAATTCCCACTTTCTAATTCGTTTCTACTTGTGATCTGTTTCTGATTGTGGCTTTCTTACCATCGTGAGGCTGTATAACATAATGGCTTCCTCCAATATAGTCTGCAGAAATTCCTAGTTGAGAAGCGTCTGTCGTAGAACTGTCACCATCCATCTATGAGGAAAAACAGTTTTTCAGTACTCTTCAATAAACCTTGTCTAAAAAACAATAGATTCAGTGCTCATAAACTGTCACAGCATGGGTCAATTCCATTTTTCATAGCTTAAGCTTACTAAAAGAAAACATTCATATTTCTTGATTTGAAAAACTTTTGATAATTTGCCAACTATACAAGAGTCCCCTATCTCTATCCTCCACAAGTGGTAAGCAGAAGACCAACAGGGAAACAAAACAAGGAAATGAATCTAAAACACACACCTCTTTCTTTTCAACTGTGTAATCCTCAGATATAGTACGGGCAACCCTGACTTACAACTTAATGTATCCCTGGAATGACAAACGAAACCAAAATCAGCTTAGTGATCTCCTGGAAGTCACCTATATCCATCATTTTTCACTCCCCTGCTAAACTCTGATATTCCCAGAAAAACCCTTTTGTTGCTGCTGCAAACTTTCTTTGTGGTCTCACGGAAGTTCCACAATAGACAACGTCTTGGTTCAAACTGTTGTTTGCCGTAAGAAGCATATGGATTCCTTACACAGTTTGTACCCATGCAACCCAAAAGTACACCCACATTTTGAACAAGCCCATCAACCTCTAATGCTTGCCAAAGGTTAGTTTTCTCTTCCCCTAACCCTTAAACTTTTGATTCTTTAAAGAAAACAGAAGAGGGGTCAAGGAGATTGGAGATCTGCATCTGAGGACAGGGACACTGCAGCCATAGACAAGAGGGAGAATGAAAATGACCATCTGGAAAGATGCCTGCTTAATTAATTTTGCTCAAAACTATAAGAATTCTAAGAGGCAAAATCTGGAAAAAACTGACCATAACTTTTAAACTGGCTACATTCCATTTCATCAACATGACAAATCCTGGAAGTCTTTCTGCTTTGGAAACAATGCTCTTTAAAACAATAAGGGACTGGCTAGCTGTGGGCAGGAAAAATTTAAATGCCTTCTCTGAATAAACAGTGTAGCAAAAATTAAATGTAATTTATATATGCTTTTAGGCCACATGGAGAGACACTTGATCCTAAATGCTCATCAAGTCCCAGGACCCAGCACAAACTTAATGTTATTAATTGAAGTATTTGAGTCCTTGTGTGACACATATCTCCTTTTCCATCTCTGTTGGATTTTTATCTAATACTAAAATACCAGGCTAGTTTCCAAGTCTTCAATAACAGGGCATTTCTTTGATACATCTGTTGATCGTGGTAGCTAATGTAATTGCAGATACATATACATTTCCATAATTTATAGTGGTTTTCAGGGGCTAGCGAAGAGAATTCCCCTACCTTTAATAAAGTGCAACAGTACAGGGTACCTAGTTACTAATACTGCTTAGTGGCCTCTAAAAGGTGGTAAACAACAGTAAGTGAGCTCTGACTCTCCTACTGATCCCTGATAATGAGCAACCCTACTGGTTAAATGTATTTCTATATAAAATGGAAATATCACCTTCTCAGTCTTAAACAGCTAATAGAAATGAAGGTGAAACATTACTCAAATATAAAATGTTATTTTTGATCCTAAAATGCAAACAAGGTACTAAGGGAGTAGTCTTTAACAGATATGATGATGGATTTTTTAGCCATAAAAAAGAGGTCAGTTACAATAGCTATGAATTGACTAGTTTTTATGATGCCCTAGAGGAGATAGAGGTGCAGGAGACAGGACCAAAGTAGTTTCGGAACATACAAGTGGATGAAGAAAAAATACAATAACAAATCCTTCCAAAATGAATGCCCACAGGATGCCATGAGTCTTTTTAAGTTAGCTTTTTAAATTAGATACTTTTCAAATAACCAGGGTCTGGGAAATTAATTTATAAATATTACATTAAAAAAGTATTAAAGGCAAATAGTTCAAATCACAGTATCTTGTCATACACTGGAATGAGCAGCAAGATTATCAATTGCATTAACAGCCTCAGCATCTAAACCTCAGTCTTTTAAAAAATAGTTCCACTAGTATCTCACAGAGTTGTCAGAATCAAACAAATGGACACCTGCTAAGGACAGTGTTTGGCACACAGAGTACTCAGATGTCAGCTATCACTCTCCCTCCTTTGAAGATAAGCTGCACCATCATCTGCTTAGTTGTGTCATCTGGTTTCATGAGTTTGCTTTTCTGTCATTTCACCATACTTTCTGCCTTCCTCTCCTCTTTCTACCATTAAAATTTGTGCCCCCTACTTTAAACCCAGAGTTCCCACATCCTCCTGAAACCTTCTGGATTTACTCTATTCTGCAAGCCAAAGATTAGTGTTCCCTTCTTTGAATCCCCAAAGAACTTAATATCTTCCATTCAACCAATTAGCCTCATTTTTGATGCTTTCGATATTCTATCCACGCATAAAGAATGAGGGGGAAAACTTGATAGATACATCTCAAAGGTTTTTTTCCTAGGTCTAAAACATAAACATTTATAAAACAGATTATAAATTTTAAGTAAGCCTGTCAATAAATATTTACCGAGTAAATGGTACTTATCAGGTCCTTACTATGCACTAGTGATGAAGCGGTCAACAACACAAGTCCCTGTCCTCACCTTGCACAGAAGACAAATGTTACATAAATTGGTAGGCATAGGAAAGGGGTGGGGAGCACGGCGTGTCAGTACTTCCAAGGAACAGGTACTGGAATCAGATCACCTGTTTGAAATACCTGCTACATATTGGCATGAGACCTTGAGCCAGTAGGATGAGAATAGGAATTACCATATAAAGAAAGCATAGTACATAGGAGTGCTCATTAAATGTTATATATAGTTATTAAATAATTACAAATAATTAACTAATTGTTAATGCCAAGTGCTAAGGAAAACAAAGATGTTTTGGTACATGCTTTGGGACCTCACTAGTCTGAGTCAAAGAAGGCTGTCTTAGGAAATAACATTTAAACTGAGACTGAAAGATGAAGAGAAATCAGGCAAAGAAAAATAGCAAAAGAATGTTCCAGGCAAAGTAAATAGGGGAATATAGTTCAGGCTAAGTAGTTGCTATATCAAGCAGCGCCTTGTGAACAAGAGCAAATCAAAGAAGAGTTTTAGCAAAGACAGTGAGTAAGGTTTCATTTTTAAAAGATCACTCTGGCTACAGTCCAGTGTAGTTAATGAACCACAGAGCAAGAATGGTGGCAGACCAGTAAGGGCCATAATGCTCCAGTCAGGACCGAATTCGGGCAAGATGACCATCATTCCCATATCTGGTCCAGGACAGCAAGAGAACACAGAGACTGAAGAGATTTTAGTAGCAGGTAGACTCAAGACTTGGTAACTGGCTGAATAAGAGCTGGAGGAAACGCCAAGGGTAACATTAGGGTTCTCACGGCTGGGCAGACAGCTGGCCCTCACTGCAGAGAATGGGCAGGATGTGCGCAGGACTGTTGGGCAGTGCAAAGAGCCTAGCTGAAGCTGGTGACCATGAGTGTTCAGCAGTACTGATCTGTCCAGCTGTGACACTTACAGGCCTGGTATAAGAACGGAGAAGCTAAAGTACTGGATTTCATCCAGGTAACAAAGAG